GCCTCCTTCTGTAATAAAACATTCTATGATTCTAAGTACTGATCTTTGGTTGCCAGCCATTGAGGTTCCTAGGTGAAGCAAAACTGGCGCTTTCTCTGCCACATCAGAAAATGCAGTTTTTTTTACTGTCGATATATTCAACAGTCTAAGATCTCTATCACATGGTTGCCCAAATCACTATTAAAAAATGCTGAGCTTGACAAGTGAAGGCACGCATATCTTTAACATTGCTGACTTATAAATCTACTCATTGAAGACAAAACCATGGGCCACAAATATCAATTTTCACTGCTCTTCTTCAAATGAATAACATAGGTTTTTTACAACCACCTGAAAAGGCAAGCAGGCTTTGGTTTAATATCTCATCTAACAGTGCTCCCTCAGTTCTTCACTGGAGTGGCAGCCTTAGTTTTAGCATTCAAGCCTGGGAATGGGACTTGGACAGACAGCCTCGTGCCTGAGGGGAACAAATATTACAATTGAGAGATGCCTGACAAATAGCTTTACTGCTCTGACCACATCATATTCACACAACGACTACAAAAAAAATCTATTGGGCAGGGCACCATCAAAAATCGTAAAAACAAAAGATAATTATTCCAAGAGGCTGAAGATTGGCACAAACATCACCTTCAGTTTCTCAGTGCTAACACAATAATTAGAGTCAGTTCAGCACTGTGGGTACTCATTAATAAATTAAACACACAAAAATAAATTACAAGTTATCCTGTATCTCTGAAGCAAGGCAGATCTCATGTGGATTGAACCACGGTGTTTACCTCTCGTCCTCACCCTCCAGCTCAGGAGATAGGAAGAACCTGGAGCAGATTCTCCTTGGCTGGAAGAGAAGAAATTAAAGAAAAAAAAGAAAACCAAAAGGAAGTACACATGCACCTCCGTGTATTCCATTTGGTTGATATTCAGTTTCCCTTCAAAATTGTGTGAACTCTAAAAGGGCATGGTTTTCAGCAGACATATTTAGTTCTAAATTTGGGGATAGAACAGACTTCATTCCAACTTGCTTCAGGCAACAGGTAATGAATGGCATTAGTGCTGTCAGGTATTTATAAACAGATGTCTTAGCTAGACGTCTTCCTGCCAAGTGTAGCTCTTGAAATAAATTAGTAAAAAAACTTGTGTGATGGTCAAACAGAAAAGAAAAAGACCTGACCCTTGTTAAATTTGGTAAACCTCCTGAACTTATAAATTACAAACAGAACATATGCATGCTTCTTGGCAGTTATTATGGTTCCTTTCACCCCCACCTCCATGATATGGATAAAACTTCAAACAAGGTCTTACTTTGCTCTTAGCAACTTCAAAATTAAGGGCATTTGTTCCTTCCCCCACCCCATCTACAGAGTGTTACTTTTTGGAAAGATTCTCTCTATTACTTTGCATTACAAGGTGTTGAATACTCAATCTTGTGAAAATTCACTCAAGCAGATATCTTTCAAAGTTTGTTGTTTGATAACTTGCTACCATTCTCTCTTATCATTTACAACTGAACCATTAAAGTATTTTGCAAATATTTATGCAGGATGCCAACAAGTAAATTCAACCATTCATTAGGAATATCTTAATTACAAAAATGTATTGTTGAACTGTAACTGTTTGCATTTTTTAAAGCGTCTATTGTCACTTGTGCAGACAGTGGATTCAGATCGGAATAGGTCACAACATTTTTCAATGATGGAAAGGCAGGATCTTGGTTCTTCACCTCCGTAAATAAATGAACAACTTGCCAAACAAATTCTCAATTTGCTTTTGAAATGAGAGTCCAGTCAATGCAAAGAAACATGTACTCACTTAGTAACAAGCCAGTCTAATCAGTTGTTAGTTTTAATCACATTTACCATTCCTGAAAGTGAGGTGATAGAGATTATTTAATCTTAAGTGATTAGAGATAGAAAGGATTGTTAGAATGTAGCACAAGTCTGTTAACCATCTATCCAATCCACTTCTGACATTTTCAGCCTCAACTCCTTCCCTAGAAGAAGTTAAATTCCATTCAGATTTTTACAAGCATCTCTTGCTCATAAGACTAATAATCTCCTTCATTCTAAACTGCTCATCTATGGAATAATCTAACTCAGACCACTGTCTCCAATCCTTTCAAACATGTCTATTAGGTTGCCTTATAAACTGCAATGTTCTAATACAAAAATTATATTTAAGTTATATTTATATTTTATCTTACAAGGTAGCACCCTGGTGAAAAGGCATTGTATCCACTTTGAACCCTGATTATTCGGACAAGACGTAGAACCCAATATTGCATAAAGTATTCAGATCAAAGTCCAGCAAGGTTTCATGGGGAGTCATTCTTTTGGTTTACGTCCTTTATACCTTTAGTGCCAAAACCTAAAATGCCATTATTATTTTACAGCCTCATTAGCTGGAAGTGCTGCCTTTAATGTCCTTGTAAACCTGTACTATCCACCAGCGGATGTAAAGAAATTCATGGTACAACCCAAAGCGCAGCAAATTCTTCTCATTGTTTAATCATCATGTTAATCTCAATCTACATTACTACTGGTTACCTATTCTTTGAGATCATTTGTTCTGGAGAAATAGGTATGCATTAGATCAGAGTGAACAGAAGACATTATTTTAAATCCTGAGTGTACAGCTAAGCCCAAGAGGCCAAAGGATTTCTGTTATGGACTACTGTGTTAGCTAACCTCAGAGTAGTAGTCTAAATGATAAAATTGACATATGCTCTGCTTAGCTCAGAGAGGGGAACAACAAGACAAAACTAAAACGTACAAATTTACTTCGGATAATGACAAATACAAGAGGTTGAAAACAGAGGCAATTAATAAAACAACAGCCTGCAAAAAAAATAAGGAGGTATCAAAACTTAAATTATCAAATTTTCAAAATGTATCAAATTTTAAATGAATTTTAAAATTAAATTTAAATTATTACAGGGTAGAAAGGATTTCTAGGAAAAAGCATCAGCTCGTAGCTCAATGTCAGACATGCAAGCATCATAAGCACGTATTTGAGATACAAAACTATTTCACAAACAAAAAAAAAACAACCATAACTCAAGTTTTGGCTTATATGATAAAGGCATACAGAGTGAAATGAAGTGGCAAGATTTGTCATTTCCCACAATGTATGAGCTATTATACATCAAAAACATTGAAACAAAAGTACACTCATCTCTAAAAGCCAAAAGACCAGTTGCAGTAAATGAAAAGGAATCATTTTCCTTGTTATACAACTCTTCACACTTTTGTTGTCCTGATCACCGTGAAATGATGAGCATAAACAAAAATCACGAGAATTTAAACTGACTAGAGACAAACATAGTAAAACAATTGGCAAGGAAACAGACACGCAAGATTAAACACATTATCTTGTCATGTGTTCAGAAAATCTTTACAGCATTTTGCCTACCCAATTCATGCATAATGACGAATCTCTTCAACGCACACAAATCCCTCTTCACAATAAACCACTTCATTTGCTGCTTTGTAGTCTCGGTTTGGAATAATATTTGAGTCATTTATATTTATCCTGACAATACAGAGAGGGCACGAGCATAAACTGTGTACAGACAGCAAACCTCATTCATTGACGTTGGAATGTAGCAGTTGAGTGAATAACTGCAAAAAGTATTTTTTGTTGTCAATTTGACTTCTACAAATAAGTGAGAGTGCAAAATCCAATGTGACACTAAATTAAATGCGGTAATGAGATAGTAGTAATCTCCGACAGACCACCCGCACAAGTTAAGAAAATGTCTTGGCTGTTTCCACAATGAAAGCCATAAAGCATGTTCCCCAAAGGGATCTCAGAAACTTTGGAGAACAAATCTCAACTGAAATCCAAGGACTTCAAAGCTCAGTTTCTCCGAAGACTGACCAATTAATTTCAGTCCAGGGACAGAAAACCTTTGACGGAAAGCATTTGTTTTAGTGGCCCTATTCGCCGACAGGCAGAAGACATTTTCAGGTGAGCTGGACTTTGTTTTGTGAAACTTGGATGGCATCCATTTTGTAAAATTAAATCCAAGTCATCACACAGGGGATTTCAACAAGTAGAGAAAATACAAAGCAAACAATGGAATCAATTACCAATTTCCCCTGAATGAAGTTGGTAGGAATTTATAGAATGAAAGATAGGACAGCTGATTAAAACGTAAAAGAGAAAATTTAGTGCTTAACAAGGGGACACCTAGTTAGTAAAACGCATTATAATCTGATCGGGGCTGTTTGGAAGCTAAAAATGTTCCGGGGCTTTTCCCAGAAAATTAACTTAATTTTGTTCCAGCCTTGGGGTGGTTTTGAAAACGTGTTTCTCCGACGTAGCTGCACTGAGCAGATGTTAGTAACAGTAATACACTGATCAGAGCATTGTGCACCATGGTTAGTTAAAATTTTGTAGAGAAATTAAAATAATATCCATGACACACACTCGAGACCTCTGAAGTCTGATATCAGATTAGACCGGGGGGTGTTAGTGTACAAATGCTGATAGAACTCTCTCATCCGAGCTCTCCCTCCTTTCACTGCACTCGAAACACAAATAGTCCACTGGGAAACAAACAGGGTCCCAACTCAATGCTAAAACCTGAAATTTCCTGGCCAACTGCAAAGGATTTGGGAAAATAAAAGATAGCACGGCTGTAGTTCAAGCTCGAACAAGAAGTTGAACAAAAGGCGAGACCAGCAGAATCGAAAGTCCAGCCACCGCCCTCAGCACAGGCAACAAACATTCTCTGTGAATGTATTTATCACCAATTCCTCCGGTAAAAGAGAGGGGGATTGTGAAAAGAAACGGGATCGCGGATTCCTCTACATCCGAGGGCACTTTTAAAAACAATTCAATTCCTTCTCAGTGGATCCCTTTTTCTCAGGGATCCGGGAGGATTCTCGATCCCTCCTGAACCCTTTTCTGTGTTACCACCCCCAACGTTCTCAGTCTCGCTTCCGCATTTCTCCTTGTGAATTCCCCGCTGATCCTCACGTACTTTCCTGAACTCTTACCTCTGCCCAGAACTTGTCCCACCTCCACTGACGGCACCCTGAAAGTGTACCTCTTTGGGTCGAACCCTTTACATCGAGTCGATGCCTCGCCGCTCCAAACCTGTGGATTCGGACAGGTTAACATCAAATAAAAGTACAAAAAAACCCCCATCCTCTCCCTCAGTTTACAGCTCCCCCCCCCCCCCCCCCCCCTGCAACGGAGATAATTCGCACTAGCTCGGATTAAAGCTCAGCCGATGATGAAATTGATACGAAACTGAAGATGGAGAGCAGGGCTAGGGGAACCGTGTAACAAACCGGAGGTCCTGCAAACCGTCCCTTTGGCAGAATTCAGATGTACACGGTCTAACCTAGTGAGAAGTAGAATTCACTCACCTGGAGCAGGAGGAGGGTGACTATCCCCAGAAACGACAGGACATAACTCCCCATTGAGTTGCAAGTCAATTTCCAAAACGCGTTGTGCCTGTTGCCTCTCGATTCCACCTCCTCGTTCTCACTGACTTTCCCCTTCTCTCCGATTACTATCCCTCACCAAATCGTCCAAAACTGGAAACCAATCGCTGCCAATCCAGGTGACGTCTCCAGGTGAGTTTCTCTCTCATTGGCTGACGCCCGGATGTTTGTGTCCAATTTTGGGTAAAGCTGGCGTCAGGTAAAGGCAGCGGCGACGCCCCGAGGCTTTCAGCTGCCAATGATTGAAACTGTTATAACAAATTCCCCCACTCCCACTCCCAGTTTCAGTGGAAGGTGGCGGAAATGATGCCGTTTACTGGAAGGAGCGGGTATCAAAACGAATTTGCTAAGTGAACTGTCTGGACAGCGACCTCTTGGAAAGTTGGCATCTATCCCACTTGTGTACTGTGGATCTGGGCAGCGCCTGCATTAATGTCGAGTTTAACCCCAGCACAGATCGGTGAACAAGGAGATTACATTCCAAACAAGGGTGACTGGAGTAGACAGTATTGGCTTAAGGCAACTGTTCTGCATGTTTGGAGAGAATTAAAGTTCAGATATTGTCTATAGTAAAGCCATTCTAGATGATGAAATATATAGGTGTCCTTTCTTCGTAAACCAGAATTTCTAGAGAGGGGGACAGTCTAGTGAAATTTAGTCTTTCATCAACCCTCCCTTGTTTCAGGCCTGGATTAGCAGCCCCGATGTTAATTGCGTCAACTTTAGCAGATTCCCCTTCACTAGAAGTTTATCTCGAAATCTCCCTGTCCTTTTTTTTCCCCTTTTAGGATACTCCTTACAACTGTTAAACGTGCTTTAGAAATACATGCTGTTGTTTTAAATACAGGAAACCTTATTTAGTATTGCTTTTTTCCAACCAGGACATCATAATGCAACTATTGTGTCTGTATATAAACGCTTGCTGCTTGAATGTAGAGTCGCAGGTAGATAGGATAGTGAAGACGGCGTTTAGTCTGCTTGCCTTTATTGGTCAGTGCTTTGAGTATAGGAGTTGGGAGATCATGGTGCTGATGTGCAGGACATTGGTTACGGCTCTTTTGGAATACTGCATTCGATGTTGTTAAACTTGAAAGGGTTCAGAAAAGCTTTACAAAGATGCTGCCAGGGTTGGAGCATTTGAGCTGTAGGGAGAGGCTAAATGGACTGGGGCTATCTTCCCTGAAGCATCAGAGGCTGATGGCTGACCTTATAGAAGTTTATAAAATCATGAGGAGGCATAGATATAGGGTGGAGGAGTCCAAAACTAGAGGGCATAGGTTTCATGTGAGAGGGGAAAGATTTAAAAGGGACCTACGGGGCAACATTTTCACCCAGAGGGTGGTGTATGTATGGAACGAGCTGCCAGAGGAAGTGGCGGAGGCTGTTACAATGACAACATTTAAAAGGCATCTGGGTGGGTATATGAATAGTAAGGGTTAAGAGGGATATGGGCCAAAAGCTGACAAATGGGATTAGATAAATTCAGAAATAGTAGGAACTGCCGATGCTGGAGTCTGAGATAACAAGGTGTGGAGCTGGAGGAACACAGCAGGCCAGGCAGCATCAGAGGAGCTTTCCTGTTTCTCTGATGCTGCCTGGCCTGCCATGTTCCTCCAGCTCCACACCTAGATAAATTCAGGATATCTGGTAGGCATGGACGAGTTGGACCAAAGGGTCTATTTCCATGCTGTACAACTCTATGACTCTATTTAGTAGATATCTGTCACATTTCATCATAGCTAAAGTTTAAAAGGCAGTAAATGTAAATAATTTCTTCCTTTATTGAACTGCTGCAGTCTGTGTAATTGAAGTAAACCACCTATACTGTTAGGGTGGGAGTTCCACGGTGATGACCCAGGGACAGTGAAGCGACAGCAATACACTTCCAAGTCAAGAGAGTGTGTGTTTTGGAGGAGAATTTGAAGGTGGTGATGTCCTCCCACATCTGCTAAATCTGCAGTAGATTTATCTCCCAAAAAGGCATAAACCTGGATTTATAAATTGTAGTTGACAGAAAATGCTCCCAAATTCATTTATATGTAAAATCACAAACAAATAGTCTCAAATTGACCTCAGAGTACATCTACTTAGATTACTTCCACTCTGGGAATCACTGGACAATGGCTTCAAAAGGATATATCCTGTTAAGTAGAGTGAAACAATGTACTGGCTGCAGCTGGAGGCTGGTAGTATGGCAGTGAGGCAGTGGAAGAGGACTGAGACTTTGCAGAGATTGAGGAGAATAAAGCGGGGTAATGCATTAGAATCACCACAGACATATCTTGTTGGTTACCTTACCCAGAGCAGTATTAGTTCTGTCAGCAAGATTTTCAGCAGGAAGTGTTGGGATGGGTGAGCATGCAGCCAAACTAGGATGATGTAGTTCGAGTTCTTGTGGTCAATCACACATTTATGAGGATTCTGGCTGAGAAATTGGATCATCCCTGAATTGAGACGAGTTCCAGATGCAGCATTGACTGCATGCAATGTAAGCAACCAGTGGGAAGACCACAAAACATTGACCACTTATATACTAATGAGGAAGACCAATGTCAGGCATGGCTGAAAAATGGAAACTGTACAAACAAGCTTTTAGGCCTTGCTCTGTTTACCGTGTGGAGTGAATCAATAAAAATATTTTTCAATGTGTTTACAACTTTGTTAGAAATAGCAAACAGAAGAAATCTTTATCAATATATTTGGATGTCACCACATACATACTAGAGGAAACATTTTCTAAACTATTTAAGAACGATGCAGTTAAAGTTTCTGTGGTCAACTAATGCGTCTGTGAGGATTGTGGCTTTTGCTGTGAAATTTAATCCTGAAACAGTTGCTGCATCTAATCCAGAAATGGGAAGAGAAATGATGCTTTTGTAGCCATGCTGATTGGAAAGTTAATGAACAGGGCATTTTTATCTATCTTTACCCAAAGTTTCAACTGAGTTCCTCACACAGTGACAATTGCCTGTTGCGAATGCAAGAATCTTTGCACTGCCTAAAGCACCAACATTGCTCAGGAATGAGGAAATTGAACATGCCTGTGTGTACACTTCCTACTCCCTGCCACTTTCTATTTGCAGTTTTTCAATTTTACCCTAGATATTCTGAAATTGGGACAGAATAAACATAGTTATTAGCTTGTAGGGGATATTTGTACGCTCACTATATTAGATTGGCAGATGCTTGGATCGGGGAGCAAAAAAAGTCAGCCTTAATACATATTGATCCTGGTATGTGGGGTTGGGAGCCTGTTTTGATTCTAACACCAATGTGTCAGTACTTAGAAAGTCTTTCCAGCTTACCACATCTCTGTGTGAAATTTAATTCCATAGCTGGCTTAGGATCTTAAGGAATGCCTAAGATTAAAAATTTTTCTGAATTCCCTTTACCAAAACAAACATTAACATTGAATTTGATCATTTTCTTATGAAAGTTGTTGCTGTAATGGGATGGGGTAGGAATATTCCTCTCCCTGCACCAGTGTACTAACAGCTGATCTCAGGAGCTCTTGCTGCAGTCCTGTGAAAGAGATTTCCCAGTTTGCAACACAGATTATTATGCAATATGTCAGCCTACTTTGAAGTTGTTGGTGCACATTAGGCTCTTTTCCAACACCTTGTGCTTTGTGTTCTTGTTAAAGAATTGGTTTCTATCTGCAGGCTGACTCAACAGTACCCTATTACTTGCATGTCTATAAATGTAGCGTATGAACTAGTAAAAAAAATTACGTATAGTATTATAAAATAGTCTTCAAATCAAGAATTGGCCGATGCTGTATTTTCAAGGGTGTGCCATTCACGTGATATATGTAATTGTGTTCTCCCTGTTCCAGCGAGGCTGCATAGATCATATACAACTATATGGAGCTGAAGTTGTCTGATGTTGTGGCCAATATTCGTCTCTTAACCGTTACTAACAAAACCAAATTGCTTTGTACCTCGTAAAATGATTAGTGTAATCACTGACTGGAATGCTTTTGAATGCTTGGGAGAAGAGATCAGGTTCTACATAAATGTAAGCCAAATTTCCTGTCAATCACTGAAACAATCCAAAATAATCTGTCGTAATTCCGATGTTTGTTCAGATACTTGTCACTATTCACAGGCAATCCTTTACAGATATCCACTCCCAATAATCTATCATCAGTCTAAAATAATTTACTGTACCACTTTTAGAATGTTATTTCTTATTAATCATGTCAAGTTGTAGAATCTTGAGATGAAACAAAAATCTTGCCATTTATTAGACTTTAAGATGTGCCTCAAACAACATCTTCCCGATGCATGAATGTACACAATTATGGTGTAGTGGTGATGTCATTGCAATAGTAATCCAGTACTTGAATTCAGTATTGAATTCAGATGATGACATTGTAATTCAATAAAAACCTAGAATAAAAAGCTATCTTTAATGGTGACAATATAACCACTGTCCTTTAGTTGTCACAAAAAAAAACATGGATTACAAATGTCCTTTAGGGAAGGACATCTGCCATTCTTACCTGGCCTGGCCTACAGTAATGTGGTTGACTCTTAAATGCTGTCTGGGCAATTAGGAATGGGCAATAAATTCTGGCCTAGGCGGTGATGCCTACACGAATAAACAAAAAATATCCAAATCTTAATTCAGCAACAGAGTTTACTTATGTAAGACCAATAGGAAATTAACGTTTCATGATTAATTTAGTTCAGTTATAATTATACAATCAAGGGATATTCATTGATTGATCTAATGTTATTCTGCTTAACTGTCACCACTGTCGATTTTATCATGTGACTGTGCTTATCCTCACCTGACAAAGAGAAGCATGACAGGAATAAAGGTAATAACATGCCCAGAGGTCCCTGGTTAGCTTATTTCCATTTCAGAACTAGATTGTGCAAATGTGCAACCTTCCAGGTTGAATAATGCAAGGCAACATCCTCCCAACACGTGAAATCTTTAATGGGCAACAAAGTAAGGCAAGGAGGAAGTCAAAGAGGAACGAAAATCATAATAACCACAGTGTTTTACACTGGATTTATTTGAATGCATAGTGTCTTAGTTTTGACTGAATGTAATCTTTGTAATACAGTTAACTTTGTAACAATGTATTTAGGATTGTAATAATATAATCCTTCAGAATTTTAATACTCAAGACTA